AGACTCCTCTTCTTGCTACAAAGACCACATTGTCACTAGGTCTGTAGAAGAGGTAACCAAAGGATTGTGTGGGTAGCCGATGAAAATACACCTCTCGCTTCGGGTTCGAGCTTATCATGAGTCTCGCGTCTCACGAAAGCCTCGCAACCCCAAATCTTGATGTGGTCTAGTTTAGGTACTTTACCAGTCCACATCTCGTGAGGAGTTTTGGCAACTTTCTTTGTAGGGACTAGATTAAGGATATGGGCGGCAGTCTCTAAGGCATACCCCCAGAATGAGATTGGTAGCGAAGCTCGACTCATCATGGAACGAACCATGTCCAACAAGGTTCGATTACGCCTCTCAGCCACACCATTCAACTGCGGTGTCCTGGGAGGTGTCAATTGTGAGACAATCCCACATTCCCTTAGATAGTCGAGGAACTCTGAACTAAGATACTCACCACCTCGATCGGATCGAAGCATCTTAATGTTCCTGCCCAATTGATTCTCGACTTCCTGTTTAAATTCCTTAAACTTCTCGAAAGTCTCTGACTTATGCTTGATTAAGTAGACATATCCATATCTACTGTAATCATCAGTAAAAGTCAAATAATAACGATTAGCATCCCTTGTGGCATGTTTGAATGGTCCACACACATCCGTGTGTATAAGGTCCAACAAACCTTCACCTTTCACACGAGCCTGTGAAGGGTGACTTTGTCATTTTTCCAAGTAAGCATGATTCGCAACTATCATTTGACTTTAGGTCAAACGACTCCAAGACTCCATCCTTTTGGAGTTGGCCTATGCGTTTCTTGCTTATATGTCCAAGACGACAATGCCATAATGATGCTTTATCCAAGTTATTATTATTAGTAGAATCAATACACAAAACATTATTTCCTAAGTTATCTACAACAGACACAGCTTCATACACACCATCACAAGGTAATGCTTTAAAATAAAGAACATTATTAAAGAAAGCATCAATAGAACCAACTTCATTATTAAACGAAAAGGTAAACCCTTGTTTGTACAAAGCATGAAAGGAAATAATATTTCTTGCCATTCCTGGCGAGTAACAACACTTATTCAAATCTAAACTAAACCCACTACTTAGCGATAAAGTATAAACTCCAATCTTGGTGACAGGTGAAGCTTTCCTGTTCCCCATGATCAAGTTTATTCTTCCTTGCTCCACATTCTCACTTCTTCTTAGTCCCTGCAAGTCACAACAAATATGAATACCACAACCGGTATCAAGGACCCAAGATTTCGAATGGGGTGAGTTATTAGAAATGATAGTGTAAATACCTGCATGGTTGGGTTTGACTTTCCCATCCTTCACATCCTGCTGGTACTTTGGGCAGTTCGCTTCCAATGAGCTTTTTCATGGCAATAGAAGCATTCAGCCTCTTTTGGGTCAGAAGAAGGAGTAATGAAACCTTTCTTGGTTCCACTTGAAGAAGAGCCATCAAGGGTCCGAGCCTTGGTACCCTTCGAAGATCTCTTTCTCTTCCTCCCTCGACTTTTCCCGATTGCCAAAACCGGAGTTGAGTTTGGAGTAGGAGTGATAGCAACCGACTTCCCCTTAAGACCTGTTTCTGCAGTCTTGAGAAGTCCCTGAAGTTTGCTGAGTGTGACCTCTTCCTTATTCATGTGATATGTCATGCGGAATTGATCATAGCACGATGGTAAGGAGCGCAAAATTATATCTATTGCAAGCTCCTCAGGGAAGTTCACATTAAGCTTCAGCAATCGATCCACATACCTTTGCATTTTCTGCATGTGGCTCGTGACGGAATCCCCGTCCTTCATCATGGTTGTTATCATGGAGCAGATGATTTCGTACCTCTCTTGTCGTGCACTTTGATGGTATCTTTCCATCAAATCTTGGTGCATTTCATAAGGGTAGAAATCTCATAGATTTTGGAGTTCTGCTGTCATTGTGGCCATCATGATGCATGCTACTTTCGTAGCATCCCTTTCATGTGCCTGAAAGTCAGCGATCTCCTGAGGAGTTGCAGTGGTCTCATCAATCTCCTTAAGCTCCTTGTCAAGGACATATTCTTTGTCCTCGTAGCGGGTAATCATCCTGATGTTTCTGATCCATTCATTGAAGTTGGATCCATCAAAGGTGACTTTCCCACACAAACTCATAAGAGTAAAGGAGCCATTAGGATTCGAGCCAGAAGCATTATTTGAAGACATCTGAAAGAGGAGAACAAGTTTAGTATAGATTTAAGAGAGTCCTTAATAAAACACCCAAATGTAATATTAAGGCTAGGATCCAATCACAATATAATATAACTTAGAAGAGGTATGCCGTAATCTAAGCTATACCATATTTGAAAGGTAGGTGAATGACGATTCACCAATTTCCACCACGAAAACCGAAATATTAGATATTAGGTTTTATATTGGTTCTTAGAAATTCCTAGATTCTTTGAGATTCAATGAACTTTTCAAAGGCATGTTTCAATCTCGAGAGTGCCCTCCAAGTTTTGTGACTGGGATACCGAGGATCACAAAACGAGGTGTGAAGTAACCATGCAAATCACTTGGTACCCTTAAAGTTTATCACTCAATCGATGTGCCGGTAAACCACACACGCTCCACCGATACTATAATAAACCTTAAGTCACCCTTTACCTACCTTGTTAAGTCCAAGTTAGTGTGCCGGTTAACCACACACGCTCCACCAACGACTAAGACAAAGTGTAAAGTGTAATTTCATGGATTAGCACCTTATTCACATTTTCCTAAAGTAACTAAGATTGGGAATTTAATAAACATTTAGTTACTTTATAATATTCATCATACTTTGAATGAGAGTTTATAAGTCCTTGTCTTACCCGTTCGGCTAACGACCCTCCACCAGTCAAGCAAGCGGTGGGTGAGAGTAGACACCCATTAAGTCACCATTTTATAGGCAACAACCTTATACCCACCTTATAGACCGGCTTCGTGAATGAGGCGTACTAGCGGTAAGACGACTTTATTCTTATACATATATATATAATTATTAAATCATCATAATATAAGTATAAGGGTTGAATTTTAACTTTTAAAATTCTAGGGGTTGGAACTTAAAGTTTTAACTTAACTTTACTTGTTCCAAAACTTGAGGGCAAGTTTTGTAACTTTCAAAACTTTTCATTTCTTGTAACTTATGAGTTTAATATAGTAATAAAATGAAGACTCTTCATTTTTCTAACTCTTGTGTTTGTTTTAATGGTTTTAATTCAAGTGTGACTCTTGGTTTTCCATAACTTGAGGACAAGTTATGGACTCCATTAAAACACATTATGATCAAGAATTAATCTACCACATAGGTTACAAATAATTCCTATGATCATCTAAAACATCATAAGAACAAGAACATGAATATGAACACATTCATAAATTACACTTAAAACTTTGTAATTTTGATAACTAGTTGTTGTAAATGAATTAGCAAAGACATTACACCACCAAAAACAAGTTTTCAATTAACAAAACAGTTTAGGGTAATGTTTCTAATTCATTTCCAGCAACTAAATCGAAATTCTGCAATCAGTCGACCCTACTCGCCGAGTGCATGAACTCACTCGCCGAGTTGGTTGAAGATACACATGAACTTGACGAGTCCCCCCTATAGACTCGACGAGTCCACTCGCAGACAGCAAGATTTTCGACTTTTTTTTCAACTTTTAAGCACAAATAAAAAACAAACAAGCCTACACTACAAGAAAAAAGGCCTTTTACGACGCGCAAAATACGACGCTCATTGATCTATGTTACGCAAAGGAGAGTGACATTAGAAAAATGTCATTTCTTCAAAAAATTTAAGGATAGAAGACGCGCATTATTGCGCGCCCTTAAATTAGTGTCTAAAAAAAACACGGAGGACACCTATAATAAAATGCGCGTCGTCTAAGGATGTCGCTTTATATTTTTTAATGGAACGCGCGTTCCATCCTTTAATAGTGGGGGAAAGGGGGAAATGAAATTCTGAAAAAATTAAAAACCCCGCCTTCCTTTTTTTCTCCTTTCCCTCTTGCCCAAATTATGAACGCTCCTTCCTTCCCCCACTTACTTCTACCCACTAGAACCACCATATCTCCCACGCGATGTTGAAATTGTTAGAAAAACCCTAATTATACTCTCAAGTCTCAATATTAGGAATGTGAATCTTGATTCTTGTTTGTTTCAGATTCCCCACAGATAAATCGAAAAACACACAGATGAAGAACCGTAACTTTGCTCCATTAGCTTCCCGATTGCATCTCGTCATCACCTTTGAAACTTCTGCGTTAGAGACCCAGGTCATCACCAACACTTCATCCACCATCACCGTTTGCAGCTCTCCAACCCCATCCTTGGGCGACCAATGGATGATGTTCCCGCAAGTCAATTTGGTGTGACGCATCTTGTCACTCATAAAACCACGCACCAACAGTTCGCTTGCAAGTCAATCGCGATGCAGAAGCTGATTAACAAGGATGACATCAACGTTGTCTTTCGAGAGCTCCATGGCGCCTACGAGGATCGCTTGATAGTCAATCGATGATTGTCGTCCGCTCATAGGGCCAATAAATTGAAATCAAAGGGTTAGGGTTTTGTCAATTTCTGGTTCTGTAATTTTCTCGTTCAGTAACTTTTTTATGTTTCCTAATTATTGGTTTTGTAGTTTGTCAATTCTACAAGCCACCATGGCTTGCCAAGGAAGATGAAACGCTACTCACTAATTGCAGGGTGCATCACTTAAAACATTATTTCCAGATTAGTTCCCAAAAACGCAATTCAAGATCGCTAGCGATTGAAACAATTTTGCAATTGGAGATTGCTCCACCAGTTGCGTTCATAAAAAAACGCTACTTATATCAAAACCACCTACCATAGTAACAAGTGGGACATAGCTACCATTGGCATGTGATTTTGTGCGCATTATGTTATAAAAACGGAAAATTACAGAAAAGCCCTTGCAATCTCATTTCTACTTGTATATGTTTGATTTGAATAGATGATGGGAGATTAATGGATGATGTTGAAGCTGGAGAATTATGGGGTTTCTTTGGTGGATTTTCTCCAGTTCCAAAGAAAACAACTACAAATGATGCTCAAAGTACTCATGCTTATCCTACTCAGCTACTTTGGTAATATTTTCTTATATTATTCTATTACTATTCTATCTCTTTATTCAAAAATTAACAAAATTCTAATTTTTTTTTCTTGTTTTATGTATCATAAAGGGAAAGCAATACCTGTAGCTGATGATTCATTGACAAAGAAGTTACTAGACACACACCATTGTTATCTTCTAGATTGTGGAACAGAAATTTATGTGTGGGTTGGAAGAAGTACTAATCTTGAAGAAAGAAAAGCTGCAAATGGAGCTGCAGAAGTAAACATATATCAAACTATATAAATATAAATATAAATTTCCAAGGTTCTTATTATAATAAATAACGTATTGATTTACAGGAACATTTACGTGTTCATGAAAGACCAAAATCCAATATCATTCGAATGATTGAGAATTTTGAGACAGTTTCTTTCAGATCAAAGTTTGATTCATGGCCTCCACTGAGTGATGTGGTTGCATCTGAAGATGGTAGAGGGAAGGTGGCTGCTTAAATCTAACAGCAAGAAGTAAGAACAGGGAACAGAGAACAAGAAGAAGCAATTGAGGGGTATTTTTGTCCAACTTTCTGCTGAGATTTTTATTGAACTGAAAAAACTCTTGTAACATCATAAATAACGTTCCTACTTATACTTGAAAGAAACAAAGCAAACTAACTAGATGGGTTTATCTCTAAAATGCAGGAAGAAAGGATAATGACTAAAAGTTCAAAAAATAAACTAGATAAATTCTTCTAAACTTCTGGATTATTCCAACATAGGTCACCCAAGTAGAGCTATATAATCCAGCATTGGTTAAAACCTTGCTTTTTTAATAAGGTCTTGAATATAGAGAGAGGGTCTTTTGAAAATGAATGACTTTATCTGTGAAAGAAATCAATTTTATACAAGTGTGTTAAAAGTTCAGCGTCTGAGGATGATGTCTATCACTCATCTGTTTGTAAGCATCTGGGTTCTATGAGGGAACATGTTTTTGGAGTCGTTGATTAAGGCTTTGTTTCATGGTATGAGAATAGTTAGTGATCACCATGTATGTCCACTTCAGGATACATTAATTCTACTGGTATGTCTTCTGGTTTTAATAATATTCCACCCCTGTAACTTTTTGATGCCATTATATCAAACTATATAAATATAAATATTAATTATCCTGATCTGGATGACTAATTGGTTTTGTTTTTTATTTGGGTTTCATATTTTGATTGGTGTGAAGGGTGAGATGATTTTTGATAATATTTAATGTGACATTTGTTTCAGGTTAACACAATGTTCCATTTGGATCAACCTATGTATCTTCTTGGGTTTCTTGCTAACCAGAGCAGGGTTTATCTCATTAACAAAGAATTCAAGTGAGTGGGTATAATAATCTTTAAATAAACAATTATCATCAACATTTATGCTAATTTTTTTTCTTTAATTTTTATGTTTTAGTCTCATTGGTTACACTTTGCTCCTTACGTTAATCGAGTACAAGACACTTGTGATGCGTGGAGACATAGAATGAGCTAATGGAGTTTTACCCTCAATCCCAAAGGAGCATTATAATAGGTAGAGTTTCAAATATTATATTGTTATTACCAAAATTTTTATCTTAAATATATATTATATTTTTTTACGAACGAACTCTGGTTGTTTTCTTCAATAGTGTTGCTCATTTTCTAGAGTCATGGGGCAAGGTTGAAGAGGCCTTGGAAGTTACTACAGACCCTGATTATAGATTTGAGTTGGTTATTCAGCTTGGTAAACTTGACATTGCCAAGGTAATAGATTGCTCTTTAATTAAGAACCAAGGGCATTGATGGAATTGGTATATGAGATTCCATTCCATGGCATGTTTGGTTGCTAAATAGAGGCAATTTAATTCCGCTGGAGTCCTACAATTACTATGTTTGCTGGATTTCATTAGGAGGGTGGAAGGAATTCAATTCCGTTTTTTATTTATTTTTCGTTAAAAAGACTAAAATACCCTTGTTATATAATATTAAAATAAATAAAAACAAAATTTCTGATATATATATATATATATATATATATATATATATATATATATATATATATTCACAATAAACAAAATATTTGTTTTTATAAATAACATTTTTTAATTCCTCATTATATGAACATTGAAATAAATAAAAATAAAAATTTAATTCCATTTTTTGATACAACAGTAAATCCTTACGATGCTTGTAATCATGCATCATCCTTGTTTTTGAGTTGGTTATTCAGCTTGGTAAACTTAACCCTTTAATACAATTATATAGGTTCCACTTCAAGTTTTTGTTCGAAGACAAATAGCTCGGTTGTTGGATCATTGTCTTCAATGTGCTAGACTTGTATACAATGAATTAGTAAAGGTATTATCTTTTTTTCTTTTTCTTTTTATTTTTTTATAATTCAGAATAAATAAATATTTGGGAAATATTTCAGATCACCCATAGTTGTCTAGTGCATGAACTACAATGGTTTCCTGTTCTTAAGATGCACATTAATGACATTGCTGGGAGTTTTTTGTTTGAAGGTCTTCAACCTTCACAAACAATGATTGGACACTTACTAGAAATGGAGGTATTAGACCAAACTACTTTGATTGCGATTTTTATACATACATGTTCCTGTTTATTAAACCAAAGTATTTATGGTGTCAGGTTACTTCAGTAAAAACTTGTAGTTGGTATTCACCATTGACTATTGATTGACTTACTTTTTTCTGTTTGATGCAGAGTCAACTGGTAGGGAAATTGTTAATTTTTCAAAGTAAAACAAAGGGTTGATTGAACGAGAGAAAAGAAAACACCAACACTCAATGGATAATAAGAATAAAAAAGATAAAGATATGAGGAAAAAAAGGTAAAACAAACTCGTATGTATGAATATGATTTGTATGATAATTAAATTTATAGTGTACGTATGTTTTGGTTTGCATGCAGTCTTTGTTTGGCAGCTTGGAAAAACTTTGTAGCACCTGATCGTCCATGCCACTCTTAGTAAAACAAATTTATAGTGTACTTCTTCCATTCATGTTAGTAGTTTCTCATTATGATGTGTTGTTTCTTGTGCATTTTTATTTTTAGGAGGTATTTTACTTTCTTTAATATTTAAAGTTACAGGACATGAGTATCGGCACATCATGGAACATTTAGGGTAGTTGTTGCTTTTCCTCTTGGTGATCCATCAATGAAGTGGCCAACATCATGTAATAACATTTTAGGGGAAGATGTAGGTATATGTTTTTTTTAATGAATAATGTAATCATATGTATGAATATGAAATACAGTTTGTTATTTGTATGACAATAAATTTTATGCAATGGATTGTATTTTTTGTATATGGTATTTTATTTTCTGTTATGAGATATTAAATGCAAATTTAATTTAAAAATTAATAAATGAATAAATATTTTTTTTAGAACATTTAAAATTATGATACGCAAAAATGTGTGTCATCTTCATTTATGACATGGCCTTTCTTGACAGGGGCTTCCTTGATACGCATTGCGTGTCATAAACACGCGCGTCGTAAGGTTACGACACACAAACGCGTGTCGTCTTCATTTATGACAGGGCCTTCCTTGATACGCATTGCGTGTCATAATCGCGCGTCGTAAATGCGCGTCATAAATGCGCGTCGTCTATAGATGACGCGCAAAAGCGCGCCGTCTCTCTTTATGACAGGGCCTTCCTTGACGCGCATTTGCGCGTCGTCTGAGCGTTTTATGACGCGCAATGAGCGTCGTAAAAGGCCTTTTTTCTAGTAGTGCTAGGCTCTGATACCACTGATGGGTTTTGAGCATTCTAACACTTCCTAAGTGTACATGCAACCCTAATAACCTTGGATCTATGTTTGTCTAATTATCATGCAAAGTTGAATTCCAAGGTTGTATTCCTATCTAGCATACATGGGGAACAATTTTAACTTGAATAGTAGATAGAATAACTTACCTTGTTGTTGTTTGTGTTCCTTGAAACCTTGTGAGCCTAGCACCCCAAGTGTGATGCCTCAAATGCTTCACACAACACCAAATGCTCTTGGAGGAACTTATGAGAGAACACACATTTCTCAAAAATTGGCCAAGCCCTCTTGTTTCTTAGTGTAGCTGATTTTGGTGGAGAATATGTTTCTTATATAGTGTTGACACATCTAGGATTAAACCCTAATGTGTCATGACTCTTCATTTCCATGACCCATGGGTTTGTAACTCCCATGGAGCATCCATGGAGCATCCTATGGGTGGAACCCAACTTGATAATCCATGGAGCCTCTTAGCCCACTATACAAGATATGGATGATTTACATAATCAACCCATATATTTAATTAGTTATCTTTTGATCACATAATTACTTCTAAATTAATTCTTGATCAAACTAATCAAATAATATTATTAATATATTAGAACTTATAATATATTAATAATCTCCAAGTGTTATTTCTCTCATTTAGTCTATCCAATTGCATTGCATGGTGCCATGCAACCAAATGGACAAATGCCAGGTCGGGTCAAGTACATACCAGAAATAGTTATGGACTTAGACACCTTATCCAAT